TGAAATTTCTTTTAGAAGGAACATTCTTGTAGCCCTATTGGGCATTCTAAATTATTGTGTAAGGAATATAAACCCTAAACTCTATTATTTCGTTTCCGCATTTAATTCATGTCTTAATTCCCTTTTAAGTTCTGGACTTTTACGGATGGTATTAGATGCAGATCCAGATCCAGATCTTGATCAATAAGAGGGTTGTGAATAAGTTCACCACCCGGACTCCCTTTAAAGGCTAGTGAAGGTCGTATGAGAATACTCAGTTATTGGCTTTTTATTTATTTCCTTGATTTTTGAAATTTTTTTTAGAAGGAACATTCTTGTAGCCCTATTGGGCATTCTAAATTATTGTGTAAGGAATATAAACCCTAAACTCTATTATTTCGCTTCCGCATTTAATTCATGTCTTAATTCCCTTTTAAGTTTCGGACTTTTACGGATGGTATTAGAACCGCGTTCCTCAGAACCATTCCTTACACAAAAACCTTAGGAAACAAAAAAAAAAGAATTATCACTCAACCATTCCTTGTGAAATGCAGGTACAAATAGATGAGCAGAGGAAGACCCCCACTAAACCGAGCAGCCCGAGAGAGTTCACTTCGAGAGGATATTGATCGTCTATTTGAAATGCTGGAGACACTCATTGCTGCCCAATAGGCTCGGGAGGAAAGGAGAGAGCTACCTAACCCTATCCCACTGCCACAGTCTGAGCCACCTCTGTAGCGAGAGGATCCTGAGCCACCCCGGTACGACCCTGCTCTTCCACAGTATCATCCGGCACCACTAAAGTATGGTCTGGTGCCTCAACTGCATCACCTGACACCACCACAGTATAGTCCGGTGCTTCAACTGCATCATTCGACACCACCATAGTACAATCTGGTCTCTCCATCGTATCATCCAGTACCACCACAGAGCCATCTGGTCCCTCCCCAACACAATCTAATCCCTTTTCCATGGGATCCAGTTCCACCTATGATGGACCCCGACTACATTGAGATGTACAAAAGACTAAACTCATCTACTTTTACAGGGGTATCCTCATTTAAAGAGGCCGAATACTGGTTAGCTGAGACAGAAAAGACTTTCACAACACTTGAAGTGGTTCTTGAATGGAGAGTTATACTTGCCACCTACATGCTGGTGGGAGAGGCAGGTCGCTGGTGGCAACTCAAGCAGGCCCCCTTGTCTGTTCTAGTCACTTGGGAACAGTTCTTGATGGCATTCAATGCAAAGTACCTCCTAGAACATCTCCGACATCTGAAGAAAATGAAGTTTACACACCTGGTCCAAGGTGATATGACTCTGTTAGAGTATGCTTGAAAGTTCCTAGAGTTGGGATGGTATTCCCCTGAGAGTATGATGGATGAAGG